GGGCACAAAAAGGACATACCAGCAGATGTGCCAGTAATATGCCCAACAAGTGAGGAAGATAAACTGAGAATTTCACACAGTAGGTTATTTTCTGCAGCCAGGGATGAACATTTAGGGGTCATTTTTCAAAGATGGGGGAAGAAAAAAATAAATTAGTCTCAAATTTTATGCCCTATCCCCAGGTCAGAAATTCCACTGTTAAAATATTTCTACTTTTTCATACTATTTGATTATAATATACAAAATAATGACCCACTAAATTAGAAAGAAAAACACTCATTAATCCTACAATTGAAGAGGAAGGGACAAGCAAAGGAACACAAATAGAGGACTCATGGTCACAGACAATAGGGAGAATTGATGGTGGGAGTAGGGGGAGATGGGGTAGGGTGAGCAATAGGGAAAAAGGTGAGAACATTGTTACTAAACAACAATAAATTGAAAAAAAGTGAAATGTTCCCACCACACTTTCTATCCAGCTTATATAAAATCACAAACTGCCTTCCCACGTCCCTTCTCTACTTTATTTTTCTCCATAGAACATATAACCATCTAAAATACTGTCTATTTATTTCTTTATTGTCTGTCTCTCTGTATGAGAATGTAAGTTGCATGATGGTAGGAATTTTGTCCATTTTATTATTGTATCCACAGCATCCCAAACAGTGCTTAGCATCTAGTAAGCACTCAAGAGACATTTGCTGAATGAATGAATGAATGAATGAGCAAATGAAAGAGGACATGAATCCCACACTTTAGAGAAAACTGCTATGAACATTTTGCTTCTTATCTACCAGACCTTTTAAGGTTTATACATACATTTATATCACATGTAGATACTTCTTAATTTTTACAGAAATGAGATCATAATGTATATGTTGTTCTACATGTTCTTTTTAAATATATGTTATTGATTGTGCTATTACAGTTGTCCCATTTTTTTCTCCCCTTTATTCCCCTCCTCCCTGTACCCCCTCTCCCACCAGCATTCCCCTAACTTAGTTCACATCCATGGGTTGTTCATATAAGTTCTTTGGCTTCTCCATTTTTCATACTATTCTTAGCCTCCCCTTGTCTATTTTGTACATAACATGTATGCTTCTTATTCCCTATACCGTTTCCCCCATTCTCCTCCCTCCCCTCCCACCTGATAATCCTCCATGTGATCTCCATTTCTGTGATTCTGTTCCTGTTCTAGTTGTTTGTTTGTTTTTATTTTTGTCTTTTTTTTAGATTCAGTTGTTGATAGTTGTGCGTTTGTTGTCATTTTACTGTTCATAGTTTTGATCTTCTATTTTTTAGATAAGTCCCTTTAACATTTCATATAAGGGCTTGGTGATGATGAACTCCTTTAACTTGACCTTATCTGGGAAGCACTTGATCTTCCCTTCCATTCTAAATGATAGTTTTGCTGAATAGAGGAATCTTGGGTGTAGGTCCTTGCCTTCCATGACTTGGAACACTTCTTTCCAACCCCTTCTTGCCTGCAAGGTTTCTTTTGAGAAATCAGGTGACAGTCTGATGGGCACTCCTTTGTATGCAACTGTCTCCTTTTCTCTTGCTTCCTTTAAAATTCTCTCCTTATCATTAATCGTGGGTAATGTAATTGTGATGTACCTTGGTGTGTGTTTCTTTAGGTCCAACTTCTTTGGGACTGTCTGTCTTTTTCCTTTGCCAGATTAGGGAAGTTCTCCTTCACTATATTTTCAAATAAGTTTTCAATTCCTTGCTTCCTTTTCTCCTTCTGGCATAGCTATGATTCAGATATTGGAACATTTAAAGCCTCTCCTCATTTTTTTTTAATTCTTCCTTCTTCATTCTGTTTTGGTTGAATGTTTCTTTCTTCCCTCTTGTCCAAACCACTGATTTGAGTTCCAGTTTCCTTCCCTTCACTGTTGGTCCTCTGAACATTTTCCTTTATTTCACTTTTCATAGCCTTCACTTTTTCCTCTGTTTTGCAACCATACTCAACCATTTCTGTGAGAATCTTTATTACCAGTATTTTGAACTGTGCATCTGATAGGTTGGCTATCTCTTCTTTGCTTACTTGTATTTTATCAGCTTTGATCTGTTCTTTCATTAGGGCCATATTTTTTTGTCTCGATGAGCCTGTTACATAGTAAATGATGGACCCTTAGGTATTCACCAAGCAGGGCAATCCAGGCCTCTGCATTGTGGTGCTGTATGTGGGAGAGGGGGTCTGAGAGGGAACAATGCTGCTTGCTCAGCTTTCCACTGACTTTCAGTCACTTCCCCTGCTACCCAAAAGCAAATGGGGCCCTTCTGGTGCTGATTCCCAGGTAGGTAGGTTTGTATATGTTCTAGGACCCTGTGGGTCTCTCCAACAAACTCTCCTGTGAGGCTGGGAGTTTCTCCCACCACCTCAACCCCCACAAGTTCTTTTGGTCAGAGCTTTTGAGGCTTTATTTCCCCACACTGGGACCCTGCATTATGTGGTCTGTCTCACTCCCTAGTTGTTCCTCCCGGTCTATCCTCATGCAGATGTGGGACCACCTGGTCTTCCAGCCACCTCATTGCCATGAGTTTTCTCTGGTCCTGGCTGCCCATCTCTGCCCCTCCTACTAGTCTGGATGAATATTTCCTCTTTAACTCCTTGGTTGTGGGACTTCCATACAGTTTGATTTTCTGGAAGTTCTGATATTTTTTGTATCTAAATTTGTTGTTGTTCTTCTTTTGGTTGTGTGAGGAGGCAAAGTGTATCTACCTATGCCTCCATCTTGGCCAGAAATCTACAACATGCTTTTTTCATTTAACATTTCATAAACATCTTCCAAGGTAAGGTTCATAAGAAGTTACTCCATTCTTTATAATGGTTAGGTAGGATTCCATTCAATGAATGTCTCATTCTCTTACTGATAATAATTTATTTTGTTTTCAAAGTTTGACTAATGCACACATGCTGAAATACTGTTATTTTGCTGCATAGTATTTTAGCATTGACATTGCTCAAAGAGTATGTTTTTTACATTTTAATAGGCATTGCCAAATTTCTCTCTAAAAATGGATTAATTTACAGTCCAACCAACACCTTCAGTAATACCACATATTACCAATTTGAGACACAAACTAATAATAACAACAATAATAATGCTATCTAAGTGTTCTTTTAATTTCATTCTTTTACTATTAGTGAAGATGAACTTTTTCCCATGTTCATGACCTTTTGAATTTTTTCTATTAATTACCTGTTTACATTATTTGTTCATATTTCTACCAGGTTGTTTGAGGTTTGACTTATGGAAGTTCCTTGTATGTTAGAGACATTTGTGTGTTGTTCCATTATGTAACAAATGTTATGTTCTAGTCTGTCACTTATCGTTTAACTTTGTCAGTCATTTTTCTCAGAAGTTATAATGGTAACAACACTAATAGCTAACTTTCATTGAACATTCACAATATGCCAGACACTGTTCTTTGTGATTTACATGGACAATCTCATTTAATTTATACATTATGAAGTATGAATTATTGTTACTACTTTTTACAAATGAGAAAATTGAGGCATTGGGGGATAAGTGACTTGCCTGGGTTCTCTCAGTTACTAAAGGCAGAACCATAACTGAAATGCTGGAAGTCTGATTCTACAGAAGTTTTAAAAACTTAACTGGTTAAGCCTGTCCATTAAAAAAAAAACTTCTGAGTTTTGTTAGAGAGACCTTCTTCAACATAAGAATATTAAATATTCTTCTATTTTTTCTGTAGTTTTCAATGAGCAATAATTGTGCCTTGGATAAACCTCATTGGCTACAATACTGCCACTGCCCAAAGCTTTGTTTCTGTAGTTTTATTTTTAATGTTAAGCACTTTGATCTATGTGGATTTTATTTTTAGATAAGACAGGGATTTTATTTTCTTTCCTTCCAAATGGATAGCCACTTGTCCCAACAACAGTTATTGAATAATGTATTTTCCCTCTGATATGAATTCCAGCTTTATGTATACAGAATTTCCATATATACAGTGATCTATCCATTTTTAATTTTTAACTTGTGCCTAGTCACTTCATTGGTTAGAATTTTCTGCCCATAGAATATAATTTGCAAATAATGACTCCTTTGCTTTCTGATGTTCATAGCACTTGTTTCATTTTCTCATCGTTTGAGTTAGCTAAACTGGCCTAAACTGTGTGGGATAAGAGTAGTGATAGTATCCTTCCCTTTCCTAAGCCTGATTTTGATGGGAATAACTTTAGCCTGTTCCTATTATGTGTTCTATGTTTTTCTGTTACTTTGTTTAAGATGTTTTCCCTTAGCTTTTATCAGAAGGACTACTGGATTTTAACAACAGTTTTCCACATTTGATAAATAATATGTTGATATAATCATATGGCTTTTCTCCTTTAAGTTATTAGAGCTCCAAAGCTTTTCAGTTTTAAGCTCTTACCAATTAATTTACAGATACTTTTAAAGTGATAACACTTTAAAGCTTACATAGCCATTCATCCCTAGTCTGACTGACAGCACAGAAATCAGGAGGGTCTCCAGAATTCACAGCATCTGGAGTGGAGGTAAGAGCAGATAGAGCATTAAGGCACAGAAAGACTCTGGTTCTCATCTGCACACAGATTGCAGGCTCCTGGAAATCCCACCCATTCTATAGGCTCCAATTAAATACCACCTCCTTCCATTGAGTCTTCCCAAATCCCCCCAATTTCCCCAAAATCCCTACGCTTAGGGACTCATCATTTTGTATGGTGCATGTGCACTTCTTTCTCTCTGTGGTCCCAGAGCCTGAGAGAATGCCTGGTGTACAGTGGGTGCTTAATAAATGCGGAAGTAAGGACTGACAGAATGAGAGGTCAGCCACCACTCTATCCTGATGGCTATTTCCCGCTGTGCTAGGGCTCAGGCAACCTTCCCCACCAGGGTCCTGCAGTATGGACTCCGTCTCGGCAGAGGGCATCCCAAACCCTTCAGAAGCTCCGGAAGCTGGGCTATCTGCCCTGGGAAGACTACACCTCCCAGCAATCCCATGGAACAGCGAAGCACCCTGGCTTTGACAGCAGCCACCGCCAGTCTTTCCGCCTCCCCAGCCTGCCTGGGAGCTGGGAGCTGAATTATGGTGGCCTGACCAGCAAACGCAGCTGCAGGAGCCCAGAGCCTCTGCCCCTTCCCACGCTGCTAACCTGCCAGGAGCTCCAGGAAACCAGCCACAGCCGACCTGCCATGCTCGCCCTTCCCAGCTCCCACAGGGGGTCCAAGCCAACCTCGCCGGGACCTACGCTAAGGCTGGAAGCCACTGGCCAGATGTAGCCAAGATCCATCTCCTTTCCTTCTCTCTCTTTCTGCGGATTGTTCCTGCCCAGTACCCACAGCCTGGACTGGGGCTGGTTCAAGGGCCTGCAGGAGCCCTGATGCTGCACAGCTCTCTCTCCTGAGCAGCCACAACCAGCACTCAGAGTTGGGGGCGGATAGCGGAGACGGACGTGGGCCCGAGGGAGCCCAGAGGGTCTGAAGGCCAGGGCCCGAAATGGCCCAAGCACTGCCCTGGCTCCTGCTGTGGATGGGCTCAGCACTGCTGCCTGCCCACTGCACCCAGCCTGGCATCCGCCTGCCTCTGCGGAGCGGGCTTGGGGGGACCCCTCTGGGGCTGCGACTGCCTCGGGACACGGAGGAGCCAGAGGACCCTTGCCGGAAGGGCAGCTTTGTGGAGATGGTGGACAACCTGAGGGGCAAGTCCGGTCAGGGGTACTATGTGGAGATGACTGTGGGCAGCCCCCCACAGACGGTAAGGTCACCAGGCCAGCTCTGCTCTCCCATCAGCATGACCAGAGGGGGACAGGCTGGAGATGCAGCATGTTGGCCCCTGCTAAAGTGGGCGGGAGAGCCCCTCTCCCAAACCTTTCCTCTGGGATCATCTGTCATTCCCAAAGCTCCCTTTCCCTTCACAGGCTTCCCAGTTTCCCTAATCTGAGTGCTCTCCCATCTGACACACTCATCTTTTTGTAGGATTTGAGGCAAGAGAAACACTTCAGTGCAGAGAGCCTGGCCTGGGGAAGGAGCCAAGCCATAGGGGTGCTATGAACAGGTGTCAGCCCTGGCCAGACCTGGTCTCCCAGCCCCACCACTCTGGATCTTGGTCACCTAACCCTAGCACCTTCTGGTGTTCCCAGAATTGAGGTTCCCACCATCATTCCTGGAATCATGAAGAGTTGGATCAGGCCCTTTCTCCCACTGTCCTGGCTACCACAGGGACAGCAAATCATGATGTCTGAGCAACTCTGCCCTCCAGTCTAGCCCAGAAGCCCTTACTTTCCCCAGTCCCTCCCTCCTCCTCCCCTCTCCCCTATTTGCATCTGCACACCAGCCCCTCCCCCACCCCCTGCCGTCAAGCCTCCAGGGCACAGGCCAGAGGGGACTAAGCTGACCCTGGGGAAAGGACAAATCACAGCAAAGGAAACAGAGCCCCCTTCTAAGAATAAGATTCCTTCCATGAGCTGATAGTGCTGGGGGGAAGCAAGAGATGGACATGGCAGCAATGGTGAAAATACTGCCAGCTCTCCCTATCCTTCCTGACAAGTAGTAGCTGGTGGAGGTTGCACCATCTGCACCTCTGTGGGTGGGTGGGAGAGTGGGCATGAGCAGCCCTCCATGGGATGCTGTGCCTGACCTCTGAGCATATTGCTTTCTCTGTGGGTGAGTCTGGACACGGGTAGCAGGAAGGTTCTGTGTGGGCTGGTTTGTGTCACCTTGAATTTGAACCTGAACATCTTTGTGAGGCACCCCTCTCCCCTGGATCTGTGTCTGGGAGGCCTGTCCTTGAAAGGGTCTCTGATGGTGGGAGAGTGTGTATGCATAGAGGGAACAGTTCCCTGGGCTTCTCAAACAGCTCATACACTGGACCAGAGAGAAATGCATCTCCACCTCCCAATTACCTGAAGGAAGCAAGCCTTCCTAGGCCCCTGCCACTTGGGCCCTCCCACCTCCTGGCTGGTCTAAGTCTCTGGTCGCCCTCACTTATCCTCCCTCTTTCCTGTGCACCATAACTTACTCAGGAGCAGTCTTGAATCAGCCCTCAGTGTGAGGACAGAGACTGAATCTAGGCCCACAGCTGTCTGGCCCACTGGGGTCAGGGGCCAGGGTCAGAGGCAAGTGGAGACCTGGGACCATGATGTGCTGTGCAAACTGGGCATAGGCCCCATGACATGGATGCAGAACAGGGCTGTGAAACCAGTGAGGGTTTTGGGGTCAGCCAGACCAGGAATTCCAGCTTCTCCTCTTCTCAGCTCTGTGGCTTTGGGCAAATGATACAACCTCTCTGAGGCTATTGCCTTGTGTTTCAAATGAGTGGAATGAGATCTCCTTTGCTAAGTAATTGTGAGGATTAAATGGGATTATGTAGGCAAAAGCACCTAGAAAAGTGTAGCTGGACACATTATTGACCTCCAGTAAATATAAAGTCAGTTTCTCCTAATTTGTCTGGTACTTCTGCCTCTTCTGGGCTATGCCATCAAGCATAAAAACTTGGGTGTTCTGGGCCTCAGTGTTTTACACGTGTAGAACTGAGGGCCAGTTACTATACTTCCCTAGACCCCTGAAATCATGCCTACATCCTCCAGTCCAGATGTTGGCAGAGAGACATTTATTGCCCAATAAATATCTAAGAGAAAGGTAAATGGGCTTAAAGTTCAATACCAGCTCAAGGAGCCAGTGCCAGGGAGACCACAGACAGAAGGATTATGGATTGCCCTACAGCTGCAAGCCCAAACTAACACCAGCGTCTCTGCCCTGTGGTGACTTGGATTCTTTTCCCAGCAGTCTGCCCTATCTCCCTGCCTTGCGGGCTGTTGTAAGCACCTTATAAGAACACATATGACAGATTCCTCTGACCAAGTTAAAGTGAGCACTTTCTATGTGCCAAGCAATTGTTTGGGAGCTGATCCACAAAGAGATAGTACATACATTTTTCTGCCCGAAAAGGGCTTAGTGTAGGGTGAAAGTGTAAGTGCTAGTACAAGTTAATCGATAGCCTTGGTACTCCAAGTGAGGTCCCGAGACTCTTTTATCCAAGGATGTTAGAAATACCAATTCTCTGGCCCCACCTCAGATTTACTGAGTCAGGATTTCAGGTGCTCTCAAGTTTGAGAAGCACTGATCCACAGTAGTATAAGAGTAAGTGCACTGGTGTTTATGAGGTAAAATTAGGGAAAGCCTCACAGAGGAGGTGTGCTGTTAGCATGGTCTTGAAGGATGGCCAGGAGCCGGGAGACCATGCTCAGCGGGGAAATGGCTCCCATCCCACCAAACTGTACTTGTACTTTATTTGTATGTTCGCTTCTTCCCTCCCTGACACTGGCTGGGTCCCTTAGATCAGAAGAGGCTACAACAAATGAGAGAATGAGTTACATGTGTTGGGTTTAGGCATGTTTGTTTAGGAGACACAGAGAAAACCGGTCCAGTTAATTTTACAGGTTTGGGTAAGTAAGATAGAGCCAACTTACCAAAAACCTTAAATCTTAAGCTATAATGATTGGACTTTGTTCTACAGATATAAGGGGGAAACTGAATTTATTTGTTCAGGGGAATGACATAAAGAAGGCAATCTTTGAGGAAGAGACATCTAAATTTGAGAAAGACTGGAACTGAGAGACACAGACAGGGATAGAGGCTCTGCCACACAGCCCCAGTGTGAGGTGCTGTGACAAGGACTGCATGAGTCTGAGATAAGATGAAAAGGGAGGGAAGACCAGGGTGAGAGGAGCAGTACAAGCAGATGGACAAGACTTGGTCACACAGGTGTGAAGAGTGAGGAAGAAGGTGTCAAAGGTGATTTTGATCTGGGGTGAACTGGAGCAGAGCAAGACCACTTGGGGGAATAGGCAAGTTGGCAGCAGGGGATGGCTTCTCAGAACTTATATACAAATACCTACTTGTATTTATGGTTACAGTTTATGTAAAGTCTTTAAAATATATTCTATATAGATTCTTTTGTTCTTTATATTCATATCTTCTAACAGAAGGAATAGGGACTCAAAGGGTAAACCATTGGCAAGGTGGCAGACCGGTCAGCTAAGATGCTGTCTTACCTTTGTTCTTCCTGCTGCACCATGCCACCTATTAGTGTGTCTTGGGGAGAAGGAGAATTTATCACAAACATCCCTCTTCCAGTCTCTCATGATATCTGCTCATATCTCCCTTACTACACTTATCCAAATGTATAACTGTGTGTCTCCCTCCTAAAACATCAAGCTCTTGAGAGAAGTATCTTTTAAATTTTTTAATTTCTTTTTTTCAGTGTCTTCTCTTTATCCAATATCTATAACAGCACCAGGCTCAGAACACACCCCTAAACAACATGGAATGGGTGACTAATAAACTGTAAGACTTCTAAGTAGAGCTGTTGGCGGGCAGCTGTCAGTGCGAAGCAGGAGCCCTGGTGAATGTGTTGTCATTCTTTTTCTCAGTGACAGAATGACACCTCATTAGAATGATATGAACCTCGCTATCCTGTGCTCCAAGCACAGGATAATAATTTAGTTGTTAGGGTTGAAACCTGGTGATAGTCGACTCAGTTTAACAAATGTTTGTTGAGCATCCACATGTGCAGAAGAGAAAAATAATGTCATAGTTTTAGCACTTGGAAAGTGCAAAATTTGATGTGAGATGCAGACATGTAAACACCTAAATAACATACAAGAACATATGCATTTGGAACAAACAGAAGAACAGTAAGTCTTGGAGGTGCAGAAGAAAAAGTAGCTACTTGTGACAGGTGTTGAGAAAGGCTTGCTGGAAAGTGTAGCACATGAATGTGGCCAAGAAAGAGGAGAGCGCTTTGCTGTTTAGAGAGCCTTGTGGAGGAACACTTCAGGCAGAGAGGCCTGGGCTGTGCTAAGAAGCTGGAAGTTGTGGTCGGGATGCTGTGAGGCTGAGTGTAGTCTGTGTTTTATTCTAGAGGCAGGAGACGTCATGCTGAATATATGAGAAGGGGAATGGTCTAGTGTAGTTTTGGTTCCAGAAACACAACTTCAGTGTGGAGCAGTGACTGCCAACATCTTTCATCTCATGGCACACAAACTAATTACTAAAATTCTGCAGCACACAGAATCCAACAAAAAAAAAAAACAGGTATAATTTTGATTCATTCACACTGACGGCTATTGTTGTGTTGTCTGGGTTTTTTGTTTGTTTGTTTTTTTAACTTGACAATCTAAGGAAAAAGAGATCAGTGCCGTTGACTAAATAGTCAGGCATTACATGTTTTAAAAATTCTTGCAATACACTGATAGAGAATTACTGGTGTGGAGGATAGCTTGGATAGTTCTAGAGTCCGAGAGGAGAATCAAAGTTAAGATACAAGGGCCTGAGAGTGGTGGCAATGAGGTCCAAAAGGAGGGGAGGTCTGATTGCCAGAGGGAACAGGAGCCGGGGAGGTAAAAGAGTGTAAAGGAAGGAGACTTGGAGTGGTGAACACACAACACAGTGTACAGGTGATGTAGTGTAGAATTGTGTACCTGAAACCTATTTTACTTTATCAACTAGTGTCACCCCAATAAATTCAATTAAAATTTTAAAAAAATAAACATAAATAAATAAAAGAAAGGAGGAGAGGTCCTCAGAGATCCAGCATTTACATGTCAGTTCACCCAGTTGGTCTCTGCCCAGGTGATGAAAGGGAAGAGAAGATGATTCTCCTTTCAACCTCTCTGACTGTGTTTGTGTCAGGGAACACAGCAAAAAGAGCAAGCTTTTAAAGCAAAAATCATCTTCCAAAATTCCATATGTATT